ATATGTTCAGAATATATAATATAATTCAGAATTTCAGGGTGGACTGTCAGTGAGTCGGAGGCTCTCAGGGAAGATGGAGATTTTTCTCCTCATAGCTGAGGAGCAACACTGGGACCAGAAAAACAAAGCTCTGCTCATGGCTCAGTCCAAATTTCCTGCTAAATTTCCAGAAATCACTGTGCGCACCGAAGAGTAACTTATTCCATAAGTATTCAAGTAAATGAGTATTAAATAGATTAATATCTGTCACTTGGGCAACTCCAAGGGGTCTCTTATAACTACTAGTGGCTAAGCTGAACTGAAAGTTCAGTTAAGTGCTTAACTGAAAAATTGGAAGTTTCAGCTCAGCGATGTCCCATGCGGTATAAAGTTCAGGTGTTGATTCAGTGACAGTTCAGAAGGGAAAGTGTGGTATATTGGAGTAACAGCTCTGCTCCTGTACCCTTCCTTGTGAATGAATGAATGGGCACCAAGCATTAGCACCAAGCATTATGTATATGAACTTGGAAAAGTTAATGAAGTATCACACTTCATTTCACAGGCTGCCTCATGTAGGGGAAAAAACCTGCAATGGCAAGTTTGGAGATTTTCATCTAACGTACTCAGGAATCCCGATACTCTAAGGAATCTTGCTAGCACCTTTTTCAAAGCACTACTTGAAAATAAATATCAAAAATGTAATCACAGGGGTCACTCCTGTGACCTGTCTGATGTGAAATTCCTACTGCAATCACAAAAATTAAATCCACTGTAAGAAGCAGCTGGAGGGAGAAATGACTGTAGTTGTAGTCCTGCCTCTCTCAGCAGGTTTCCTATAAAAGCTTAATAGATCATTTGGATTAAAATTCTTACAGTTGAGTACTTGTCACCGTCTTTATTTAAGAGCAGGAAAATAAGTGTGTGCGTGTGTGCGTGTGTGTACGCATGCACACACATGCGTGTTTGCTTTTTTAATGGGTTAAGTTATACTCACTTCAAGAAGGCTAACAATGGCTGCTTTGCTCAATATTAAAACTAACTAGATAGATACAAAAGAAAGGATCTGAAAATTCAAAAATCACTATCTTCTTTCAGGAAGAAAATCTACCTTTAACAGCTTGTCCCTTGTAGATCCTTTAACTTCTTCTGAAGAGTACTTGTGTACTATTGTTCCCTTCTCCGAAGTACTCAGAAGGCTGTGCGGGTATTTATCTCACTCCTGAGGGTTACAATATCTATTGTACCCATTTAACCTAAAATAATTCATGCCAGTATTTAGACTGCTAAACTCTGTTATGCAAAACAAATACATAATTTGAAAATAAAAAGAAGCTGCCTTATTTTCACTATAGATGTAAAAACAGTTGAAGTATTGTTTCTAACTCAAAGTGTCAACCACAAATAAAAGCCCTTAATGCATGTTGCACAAGTGCTTTTTAGTCTGAGTTGGCTGTCCTTCTGAGATAAAATTAACTGCTAACGGAGTCCTTCTCAAGCCAACTCCATGCAAGGGACATTAATCCTTCAGCATCTTTCTAATATAAATATCCAGCAAACACAGATTTTTTTTTTCTTACAAGGCACCAGAAAAAATGTATAGAGCAATTCAATATTCAAGGACTACAGGATGTTCCTGGATATCTTTATGCTATACGCAGGTGAGCAAATGTGGACAGCATTACTTTGGACAGTAAAAACATAAGTATTGTGCAATGTGGATGCTCTTTCTTGAGCAAAGGAAATCTTTAAGTGGCACTTGTATGAGGAAAAATATATTATGCTGTTCAAAGGCTATATAGCTTATTATATTAACATGTAAATTATTGATATAGCCATATCACACCTATAGAGTTTAAAACTCAGGGCCTATTTACACCACATTGTTTAATTTTGGTATGCTACATGATCTATACCTCACCAGATGGTGTGAAAAGGTGATCTAGGTTTTATCTTTACATGCTTTCACTCCTTGCACCACTCTGAGCTGAACCAATCTGTTCAAGCAAAACTACAGTATCCCAAACTTCCTCTCTAACCTACAAAGAATGACCACCAAGGGTTCACACCTGAGACTGGCACAAAGGTATGTCTGTTTTCTTCAGCTTGCTTTCTCCTGCTCTGCTAGTGGAAATAAGAAAAAATACTGGTGTAAGAGTTCCTCCAGCAGCTTCATGATCTTCCCTTTTCTCAGACCCTGGGTCAATTCAGCAAGGGATTTCAGAATTTGCCAAGTTCTAATAGAGTTACTAAATATAGATATTCTTCAGCCCTTTCCATGTCTTTCATTTCTTATCGTACTTGTATAGACTAAGAGACA